GGAGGACATAGGGGAACAGTGGGGGATACCAGGGGAGAACCAGACAGCGGGGAACAGGGGGGTGGGGGCCAGTCGAGGACGGGGGGATAGGTGACCAACCGGGAGGAAATAGCCACAGACCTGGACAGTGGTCTTAGGGGCTGGTGGCTAGACAGGGCAGAGGACTCCTATCTCAGGTGCCCCTATCCCAGGGCACCCAAGTGGGTGGGTTCAGAGCTCTCCCCATGAGGCCAAGAGTGTAGTGTCCATGCATGTTCATGGGGCCATAACCACTGGTGACCCATCAAGAGACTCGGGATCTCCATGTGGGTGAGGCTGGCCGGGTGACAGGGAGCTAGGCCTGGCCCGTGGGTCCCTGTCAAGTCCCCCAAGGCCGTGAGTCGCCTGCAATGTGCACACCCTCCCCCACTAGTATGCTTGGTATCTTTTGTGAGTGTGACCCACGCTCAGGCTCGGGGTCCCCGTCTCCCCAACACTGCCTCTGTCCCATGTCAGCTCCTCTGCATCCTGCATCACACCTGAGACCTGGATGCCCACCCTCCCCAGATTCCCAGACCGATGACCCAAAAAAAACTGGGTCCCCTCAGACACCAAGCCTGACACCCTACCCTGTGTCACCTGCACCTGGATGTTGTCCCCCAAATCCTAAAGGCCCCCCAGTAGCCGAGATCCCCATGCACTGTCAGTAATGTCCCCAGGCTCTACCTCAGGGGTATACAGCAGAGTCAGGTATACAGGGACCCCAGGAGATGTGGATGCCAGGAGGTCCCCCACTGCAGGGGTCCCAATGGATGGCCAGTCCCAACACACAGCAACAGGAGGTGGCCAGGTGGCCGGTACAGGCCAGACCCCCCCAATGATGTTGGGAGACATAGCTTAGCTTTCCCTCCTGGGCCCCGTGTCCCTGAGGTAGATGGACACATCGGGGGTGTCTGTGACCCCTTTTTCTTTCCTTCCTCCTCTCCTCCACCCTTCACTTTTTCCCCAGACAAAGGACAGACCACACGGGGGACAGCGACTCCACCAGCTGAAACCAAAAAACTTGGGCGGCTGGACTGGCTCTGTGCGGCCAGCAACACGGAAGTCTTAATCAAAACCACATGTGACCAGCGCAGCGTTGGGGACCCGCTGAGCAGTGGTCCTGCAGGTCCCTGCTCTCAAGTCCCAAACCCTACAACCCTGCCCAATGGCAGAGGACCAGCCAGTGATCTCCCCACCCATATGGGGGGACACTGGCCACCCTTGTCTAGGATCCCACTACAAACACCCACCTTGTTGGAACTTTCAGCAGGGTGAGTATGGGGACCAAAGGGGGATAGTACCCTAAGGAGATTAACTGAGAGAGGGGTCCCCCTGACCAGTCCTGGTCACACATGGGGGGACTCTGAGTGCTAGATGAATTCAACCCTCAGGAATCCCTCAAACACCCTCTTCCCATGGGACCCTGCCCTCAGCATGCCCCCAAACCTCTAAGACCCTATAATAACCTGGAAGGTTCTATGGTGTCCAGTGCATGGTCAGTGAAGTTTTCTTACTCAGGCTAACAAGGGTTTCAAGTGTCTCCCCACTACTGTACCCAGAGGCTGGTAGTGTCTGACCCATGAGGTGCTGTGTGACAGTCAGGGTGGGGCACCTTAGCTGGGTGTGGCAGGCTGGGCATTGGCCACCAGGATGTCCAGTCCTATTTCCACACCTCTAGTCATGACCTTGAGCCAGACCCTTGCTGCCCCTCCTGCTACCTCAGTTTCCCCAATGGGAAAAAGAGTGGGAGACAATTATAGCCCAGGCTGCACCCCTCAAACTGACCTTCACTTCCTTAGCGCCTGGGGTCCCCTCTATCTCTATAAAGTGTCTGGGGGGTTGGAGCACCCCCTAGAGTGAATGCAGGGGTTTAGAGGGGAGCTTGCAACTTCCCCAACTTCATCTGGGGACCCTGGTGCAGGACACTGAGCTCTTCCCAAGAGGGCCACATCCCGGGGGACCCCCGGGTCCCCAGGGATATCCAGGGATTCCCTCAGCCCTCCAGGGTTCCCCTCTCCTCCAAGAAGCCAGGGAGTTCAAGGGTGTCCGGAGTAGCAACTCCAGCATCTGTGGGTGCAGAGAGGGGACTCCTTCAAAGTCCAGCAGCCCAGAAGGGAATACTAGACACCCCTGAACTCCACTGGGAGGTCGGTGCGCACTGCAAATCCCCAGAGGGCTGGGGGCTGGGGGTGCTTTCGGGGTGCCCCGGGGTGTAGGGATCTCTAAGTCCAGCTCACCTCGGGTTGCTGCGGTTCCAGTAGACAGCGTAGCGGTCGGCGTTGGCGCGGGCTGGGTCCTCGTTGCGCGCGCGCAGAGGCAGTAACAGCAGCATCAGCGGCAGCAGCGGGCGCGAGGGCGCCATGGCCCCGGTGCTGCCGCCGCCGCGCTCCGCTCGCTCGCTCGCTCTCCCGGCCGCCGCCTGTGGCCCCCGCCAGACTCTCTCCGCCTCCGAGCGGGAGGAGCGCGCACAGCGCTTGGAGATCCCGCCGTCCCCACCTCCGCGCACCAAGACACCAGGCGGCGGCTGCACGCGGGGGACGGAGGCCCGAGATGTGCACTGAGCAAAGAACTCAGCTCCGGGGCCCCCCCAGGCGATGGGGGGCTTCCCCTTCCCCTTTGTCTCCCCAGCTGGAGGGTCGCGGGCGCCCCCTCCCGCCGCGCCCCGGACCCTCCAAGCTGCAGCCGTGCCCCGCCCCGGACAGACCGGCGCAGACTCGGCCCGGTGGATTCCCCAGGGTCCCGCCCCAGTCAGGAGCATGAGCAGGAGAAGGGGGACTCCCAGAGCAGGGTGCCCAGGCCTCTACGGAGCCGCATCCTGCGCTGCAGCTGAACACCTGGCTCAAAAGTCTTACAGCTCCACCACGCCTGTCATCCCAGGAGGCTGAGGCAGGGGGATTGCTGCGCGTTCCTGGCCTGCCTGGGCTGCAGAGTGAGACTGGCTCAAAGCAGTAACAAAGCCGGTGTGTGTGTGTGTGGTGTTGTGTTGCACTCGGGAAGCAGAGGCAGGTGGATCTCTTGTGAGATTGAGCCAGCCTGGGGCTACATAGTGAGTTCCAGAGCAGTAACAAAGCCGGTGTGTGTGTGTGTGTGTGTGTGTGTGTGTGTGTGTGTGTGTGGTGTTGTGTTACACTCGGGAAGCAGAGGCAGGTGGATCTCTTGTGAGACTGAGCCAGCCTGGGGCTACATAGTGAGTTCCAGGCCAGCTGGGGCTACAGGGAGACCATCTCAAAAAAAAAAAAAAAAAAAAAAAAAAAAAATCAATCAATCAAACAAAACACAAACAAGGGCCAGCGAGATGGCTCAGTGGGTAGAGGTGCTTCCAACCAAGCCTGACAACCTGAGTTCCATTCCTGGGACCCACATAGTGGAAGGAGAGAACTGTCTCTGGCAAGTTGTCCTCTGACCTACACATGTGCACTATGTCAGGATACATACACCAACACACACCAACATACACACACACACACACACACACACACACAATAAAATGTTAAAAAAAAAAGTCTTAGGCCAGCTGAGGTGATGCATGTGTCATCCCAGCACTTGGGAGCTTGGAGGCTCAGACAGGAGAAGTTCAGGGTTATCCTGGGCTACATAATGACTTCAAGAGCAGCCTGGGCTATAGAGACCCTGTCTCAAAAAAAAAAAAAAAAAAAATTACCACCCACAAAAGTCTCCAGTCACCCTTGCTTAGCTCTTCTACCTCATCTCCAGGGAAACCCCATACCCCATGTCCAGGGATCCTGGGGGTCACTTCCAGAAACCTGGGAAGTCACTGTCCGAAGGTGACCACATATGGTAAAGGGTATCCCTGGCAGCTATGTTGTCACAGATGACTAGTGGCTGGAGGCCATCGTAAATCACATGTTCTTTGGTCCTTTGTTTTGCACTGAAATTGGGTCTGGAGCAGGGCATGGGGGACTCTAGTGCTTCTGACCGTGGAGGTCAGAAGAGGCTGTCAGATCCCCTGGGACTGGAGTTATGGACAGTTGTTAGCTGTTAGCTACCATGTGGGTGCTGGGATTCGAACCTGGGTCTTCTGCAAGAACAACCAGTGTTTGTAACTGTTGAGCCATCTTTCCAGCCCCGTCTTTCTGTCTTTTTGAGACAGGGTCTCCCTGTAGCCCCAGCTGGCCTGGAACTCTCTATGGTAGACCAGGCTGGCCTCCAACTCACAAAGATCCACCTACTTCTGCCTCCCAAGTGCTGGGATTAAAGGTGTGTGCCACCATACCTGGCTTTTTTGGTCTTTTTGAGACAGGGTCTCCCTGTAGCTCCAGCTGGCCTGGAACTCACTATGTAGACCACGTTGGCCTTGAACTCTGATCTGCCTGCCTCTCCCTCCCAAGAGCTTCTGGATTCTGGAAGGTTCTGTTGTGAGGATTATGAGAACTCTGCAGGAATCAGTCCAGAGATCGGCAAAGTCTTCTGAGATGCACAAAGCCAGGATGGTAGACAAACTCTGATACATGAGCTTTCTGTCTCTTGCCCTCAGAGCTCCCTGCCCTCCCATGGGATAAGTAGAAGAGGTACAAGGTCTTTACTTGGAAGTCCTTCCCTTGTCTTACCACTAAATCTGGGCTTGTCTTTGGAGACCCATCCCATCCATCTTCTGGGACAATCTTCTTTGCCCTCTGCCTGCTAGGGCGCTCAGCTTGTCTGTGAAGGGTGTGGGTTAGGTGGTACTCAGAGGAGGGCATGGGACCTGGGGCCCTGTGTCCAGGTGTCCATTTGGAGGCCTCCCTATCTGGGATGTGAGCACCCATGCTGTAGAAAGGAGTGCGGTAGGATGGGAGAGAGAGACTCCTATCTCTCAGACTTGTTAGGTTTCCACCTGCCAGGACCAGTCACGTCCCTGAGCCTCATTTGCATGCTGGGGCCACCAAGTTGAGAGCTGGGCACTGGTGGATTCTGTTTCTTTTTTTCTGTCTGTCTCAAGGTCAGATCCAGAGCGGGCCCAGAACAAAGACAGCTGTCCCCAACTCCACCTCCCTGTGGATGAGGGGAGGGCAGACCCCAAGAGGCTGCTCCAGGGCACCCCACAAAGTAGGAGGGGGTCCCCAAGTCCTAGTCCCCTGGGGGTCAGCAGGGTCCTACCAGGCCTAGCAATAGGAACAGCCATGATTAGGGTTGGCCATGTCTTGGGTAGAGATCTGTCCCCATCCATCATCCACCCAAATCCCTTCTTCATCTCATGGAGCTGTGTGCTCAAGCTGGAGGGGGTGTACCCCACAATTTGCTAAGGTCTTCAGTGGCTCCAGCCCAGCCCTGTCCCTAACTTGGCACCCCAGTGCACAGGGCCAGGTCTGGGGCTCCTGGGGCATATAGCCTGGTCGCCTCAAAGCCATCAAAGCCTGTGGCGCCAGGTGGGAGGCTAAAAATGCAGATTTCTCATTACAGAATTGGACCAAATCAGACACCAACCTGGGCTCAGGTAGGGTTGGGTAGTGATAGGGTATATAAGTCCCATGGGTGGCCCCTGACCCCTTTGGCTGGTCACCTGCAATTGTGGGGAAATGGCAGATAGCCCCCCCCCCCCGCAGCCAGTGTGGTCAAGGTGGCCTCCCCTCCTCCCTCCCTGAATTTATCCATGCCCCCCTGCCTTGTCCCGTTTCTCCTTCATCCTCCTCACTCCCCTCCTAATCCCCAGCTCTAGCCCTCAGACACAAACCTGTCTTCCAGGGCCACCATGCACCCTCCAGCTAGAGCCAGCATTCCCAAATCATCTGAGTCTCAGCAGTGTGCACAGCTCCCCACAGCTCTGTTTTCCACACAACCCGGGTGCCTGCCCAGGTCCCCTTGGAAAAACAGCCACGGGGCCTGCAGTCCCGTGGGAAAGTGATGCAGGTAGGGCCACCTCTGCTGACCTCAAGATGTGTGGTTGGCCAACAGTGACCACCTGTCCCCATGTCCCCAGTGGAGAGGCTGAGGCTCGCTGCACAGAGCTTGGGAGAGCTCACTAAAGGGCCTGGTTTGTCCACATACAGGGCATGCTTTGGGGGACAGGAGAAAGATTTTTTTTTTTTTTTTTTGGTCTTTTTGAGACAGGGTCTCCTGTAGCCCCAGCTGTCCTGGAACTCACTATGTAGACCAGGCTGGCCTCGAACTCACAAAGATCTGCCTGCCTCTGCCTCCCAAGTGCTGGGATTAAAGGTGTGCGCCACCACACCCACTATGTTTTTGGCTTTTTTGAGAGAGGGTCTCACTATGTAGCCCTGGCTGGCCTGGAACTTTGTCCCAGTCTGGCCTGTCTCAGAGATCTACCTGCTGCAATTCAAGGCCTGTGCCACCATGCCCGGCCAAAGGGGGCCTTCTTAAAATTTCTTGGGCTGGAGAGATGGATCAGTGGTTAAGAGCACTAGCTGTTCTTACAGAAGAACCAGGTTTGAATCCCAGCACCTACATGGTGCTAACAACCCTTTATAACTCCAATTCCAAGGGAACCAATGCCCTCTTCTGTCCTCCCCAGGGAATACATGACATGGGTGCACTTATACACACGCAAGCAATACACTCATACATATAAAACATAATCCAAAAAATTTCTTTTTAAATTATTTATGTGAGCCAGGCGTGGTGGCGCACGCCTTTAATCCCAGCACTCAGGAGGCAGAGGCAGGCAGATCTCTGTGAGTTCAAAGCCAGCCTGATCTACATAGTGAGTTCCAGGTCAACTGGGACTACAGGGAGACCCTGTCTCAAACACACACACAAATTATTTATGAGTAGTCAAGCCATGGAGGTCAGAGGGCAAATTGCAGAAGAGGGTTCTTGCCTTCCACCATGTGAATCTGAGGACTGAAATCTGGTCATCTGGCTTGGCTACAAGTGCCTTTAACCTGCTAGGCCCTCTCACCAGCCCAGGATTCCTGATGAGGTTGGGCTTATGCAGCAGCTGTGAGTATATGTGTTCACACCAATGACTGCCCACACTCACAGCATAGGCTGGTCAGGACCCAGGACTCCCATTTCATGCCTGGCAGGCCCAGCCCAGCTTTCAGCTGTGCAGAGGGCTGGCTAATGGTGCATTAACCTTGGCTGAGCTGCCAATTATCTACACTAATGCTGGGCTGTAGAGATGGCCGATAGGCTGACTGGTGGAGATACTCTTCCCGCGAGAGGGTGGAGGCTGTGGTCTCTCCTGACCTCATTTGACTAATCAATGTGCCTTTTGAAGCTCTGGACAACCAAGCTGTGGGAATGGGGTGCAGATGAGAGGGTGGGGGGCAAGGAACCAGGTGAATCCCAATGAGCAGACACAAAGATGGATAGTGACAAGGGGCCGCAGGAGACAGATGGGAGACTGGGTTGAAGACCCCCTCCCAGCTGGGCATTTGGGGGAGGTGGGGGCGGGGGAGCGATCTCAGCTAACCCGGTGTCCAGGTTGGGGTATGGCTCTTTGGGGTATGACCAAGCAGAGTACAGCATGGAGAGGGGCAACCAGATGGGCCCCAGCTGTAGGGTTATTGCGGTCTGCAGGTGAATGAAGTGAATGAACCCTGGACACCCACATATGAGCAGGTGAAAAGAGGCTCTGGCCACCTGGGGACAGAAGTGTGTGATGTGCTCAGAAGAGGGGACACACCCCCAGTATGACCAGTGGGTTCCAGGGAAGAGAGGGGCAGCTGTATAGTGCACAGCTGCCACCTGGTGGCAACTCCTCGATATCACAGGACAGTGGGTGCCCAAGGCTGCAAGAGTCTGAGGATACATGCCCTCCCAAATCTAAGTCCACATGTACTGAGGGAGGGAGGCAGTGAGACCAGCCAGCACTGAGATAGAGCTCACAGGCTCCTGGAAAACTCTGCCACAGGCACCAAGCTGAACTGGGACAGCCTTGTGGGAGTTCTCTGGAGGGACAGTCACCAGCCCTTACCCGCCTCACCCAGACACTTGAGTGCGCCATCCAATGGAGATTTGAGGCAGATACAAAGCAGAAGCCTCATTTATTGTCCACAGAGCAGTGGGAACACAGCTGGGGACCCAGGAGTGCACCTGCCACGCCAGGCCTAATTGCCAGGCTGCCTCATTCCCTGAGGGGGTGGTCAGGAAGACTGAATCCCACAAGTCAGTCCAGCCTGGGGTCTTCAGTGTCTGGGTGCAAATTCCTTTGCCAGGCCAGGATGCACGCAGGGTAAGTGAAGCCACTGTGCAAGGCCTCATCAGGCAGGTGGATATTAGAGCTGGCAGACCAAGTGTTACCTCTTGATCTTCACTCATGCTGCTGACCCTAACTCGGTATCTGTGGGGGGGGGGGGGGCGACAACGCTGTTTTTCCTTTTTTCTTTTCCCTGTGTCTGCGTCCCCAGACGGGTTTTCGGGGGGGGGGGGGGACGACAAGAAGACATAGGGACTGAGGAATGATGGCTGCGGGAGGAGGTGGTGCTCCAGGACCCTAAATGCCCAGATCCACTGTACCCAGCCACCCAATGTTTGAGAGGAGGAGCATCCATAGCCATGGGAGGGGATGAGACCATGAAGACTGACATGCTGGTGTTCACCTGCCTCAGGGTCCTTGGAAAGCCAGAGCTGCTGTCTGAGGAGTCCCTGGACCCTGGGCTCTACACCAGTCACCCCAAAACAGGCTGGTCACCCCAGCTCAGAACCCTGTTGACACCACTTGCTGGCATGTGCTGGTAATGTGTAGTTCTATCTGAACCTGATGCTCACCCCTGTGGGGACCTCACCTGGAATGTTCTCTATAAAGCCACCAGAACCTTCCCAATTTCCCACCCCCTAGGCACAGCCCTGCCTCACTGGGAGATTCTAGGTAGGTGCTACAGCTGAACCACACCCCATCCCCTCACTGGGGGATTCTATACTATCACTCTACCACTCAACTACATACACCCCCAGTCCCTCACTGAGGGAGCCCAGGCAGTCACTCTACCTGAGCCATGCGCCATCCCCTCACAGGGAGATTCTCCCAGCTTTGTTCTGTCTTATTTTTTGCCCATTGTGAGTCAGGGTCTTGCTAAGCTGTCTTGGTGTCCCAGTCCTTCATACCATCTCAGATTCCTGGTCTTAAAGCCAGTCTCATCTTCACTGTCCAGAGAATCCATCTCTGTGTGCTCCTCCATGTTGTTCAGGAGCCCATATCTTCTCTGCTGTTGCCTCTTCAGTCTGTAAGGGATACAAACACTCTCAGTGGCCTCTTATGCCTGCTGGAGTCCCAACTCCCAAAGGCCTTGATGCACCCCGAGCCCCTCACGCAGTATTTGTGTTAAGAGCTGCAGGGCATTGTGGGTACAGGGACAGCAGGGAGGCGCTGGGACCCTGAGATGACTTGCCAGTAGAATCCTGACTCCTTAAAGCCCTGGCCAATGCGGCCACAGCAGCTGCGGGTATCGGAGGAGTAAGGCCTTTTGTTTATCAAAGACAGGGTCCCATGTAGACCAGGCTGAGCCTGAACTTCTGAGTGCTGGGATGACGGGCATATGTCACTACGCCTGTGGCTAAAGGAGGATGCAGGGCCAGGTGCTCGCTGGGGGCTCCGCCCATTGAGTCACAGCACCGGAAGCTGGGCTCCTCCTGGCGTGGGGATGAGGCCACAGGAGTTGAAGACCAGAAGTCCGAGCCTCAGGGTCCTGCTGGGACCCTGCAAAAACGATCACAGTGGCGTCACGTACCCAAGGCCCCGCCCCATGACGCGCGAAGCGCTTATTGGCTCACACACCTGCAGGCCCGGATGAGGAAGTAGAACACAGCCAGGCCGCAGAATGCCCCGAGCACGTAGAGGGAACGCAGCAGCGGCGAGTCGGCACCCGGGAGGCCGTGCGTGGCGTTGCGCGGCCCGGCTGACCAGCTGCTATTGTCTGTGGGCCCCGGGGTCGCGCATGGGAGCAGGAACAGCAGCAACAGCAGGCGCGCCATCCGTGCGGCCACCCACAATGCCCCGCGCCGGCCCCGCCCCTTCCCTCGCTCCAGGCCCCGCCCCCAGACACCCATCATGGGACACAGCTCTTCATAAAGGAGCCCTCCAGCCCTGGCTACCTCCAGGGCTCTGGCAGGAAGCACTCCAAGAGCTGCTGGGAAGAGCTAGCAAGACATGAGAGGGCAGCCCCAACCCCACAGCACCGCGTGCACCCCGGAACCCAGGCTCTGAGCCTGCACCCTCAGTCCCCCTGCGCCCCAACTGACTCCTGTCCCATGCACTCACCAGGGAACGCATGCAGGTGTCTCTGGCTCCCGCTGGCTGGGGCACCCCAGCACCCCAGCACCCCGCAATCCTTCCAGCTGGTCTGGCTCTCTCTCCTTCAACCTACCGAATAGAGGCGCGTGACCCCCGTTCCCGTGGGTCTGCAGAGCCCTTCCAGCCTCCCTCACCTTGGTTCGGACACCACGAGGGCCCCCAGGTGGCCAGGCCCTGCTGGACCAGCAGCTGCAGGTCTGAAGTCACAGGAGCAAAAATGCCACAGGGCAGATGTGGGGTCAGGATGCAGTCCCTGCATGGGCTGTCCTAGCATAACTGGTTTCTAGAAGGTTCTGGAAGCCCAGTTGCTGTCAGTCCTGTGCAGGAGCGGCGGAGTGGCGGGGCGCTGGGGCTGTGGCCAGAGCAGGGTAGCAGGCGTGGACCCCGTGCCCAAGCCGCTTGCCCTGTCTGGCCACTGTGAGCTGGGCGAGGCGTGAGAAAGGGAAACGGCAGAGTTCGATTCACACGGTCTTTAATCGGCTTCGTGAAGCCAAACAAACTTGGTACAAGGATCGCTGTCCACGCGAGCACACATGGATGGAGAACGCACGGCTGCCGTAAAAAAAGGACACTATAAATACCCTTCCCAGACCCTGGCACCTGGCTGAGTCCTGCACCAGTGCGGGGTACGGGGCCAGCTCCACAGACCGCCCTGCACAAAAAACAATGCAACCGGAAAACTCCAATAACAAAACCAGTAAGCAAAACCCACAAACCCCGACAATTTAGAAAAAACAAAACCCATGGCTCATGGTAAAAAAGTAAAATCCAAGTGCTTTCCGGAACGTCTGTAAAACTCTCAAACGGACAGCGCTTCCGTGAAAGGAAAACTCTGGGGACCAGGCCGCGATTGGAGGCACAGGCTGTGGACGCTGACAACTCGGGGGCTACAAAAGTGGGGGGCGGCTGCTCAGGACCACCGGCGCGGCTCCCTGTCTGTGACGGCCACGGAGAATGGTCTGCGGCTTCACTCGCTGTGCGTGGCTGGAGACAGAGGACACAGTGAGCCGCGCCCCGCGCCCCGCCCCACCCCGCGCAGCCGCACTCACCGTAGCTGTCATAGCTGTCCCGGTAGGAGCCGCCGGAGCTCCGGTACCCGTAGCCGCCACCCTGACTCCGGCTGCAGAGAAAGACTCTGGTGAGCAGCGCCCAGGGCCGCGGAGGATGCAGTGTTCAAGGGCCCGAGGACCCACCGCCCACTCGAGCCCTCACCTGCCATAATAGTCCCGGGAACCGCTGTAGCCCCCGCTCCGGGACTCGAAGCGGCCACCACCATAGCCCCGGTCTCCGCCCCCTGCAGAGGAAAGCAAAGGTAACCAGGGAGAGCTCTCCCTACCCGCATCCCCCCTCCTGTCCATCATCCACCACTCACCTCTGGAGAAGCCGCGGCCCCGGCTGCGCCCTCCACGGAAGAAGCCTCGGCCCCCAGCGGAGCCGCCCCGATACCCACGGGACCGGTTGTCTGATGACTTGCCAGCCTGGTCTACACGGATCTGCCGCCCGTCAACCGACTGCGAGGCAGAGAGGTCAGCATGGCACACGCCGTCCACACCCCACCAGCACCCCACCTACCTGCCTCACCTTTCCGTTCATGGCCATCATGGCATCCTTGGCGTCATCGATATTCTCGAAGGTGACAAACCCGAAGCCCCGAGACCTCTGGGTCTCCCTGTCCTTGACAACCACCACTGCAGGGACAGAGTTGGAGCAGGGGTCGGAGGGAGACAGAGGGAAGTTACTGAGATCAGCATGGAAGGAGGATCACAGTGGAGGGGTAAGGGAGGTGGCTGTCCTCACCTTCCGATATCTGCCCATACTTGGAGAACACCTGCTCCAGCGCCTGCTCATTGGTGTCAAAGCTAAGCCCTCCCACGAACAGCTTGCCTTCGTCTGATGCCATGGTGGCTGTGCACACCGGGATGCTTCCCCTGGGGGAGAAGGGACACACAGGCTGTTTCTTTTCTGTGTATGTGGGGTTTTGGGAGTAGGACTGAGACAGGATCTCACTATGTAGACCAGGCTGGCCTCTACCTCCCCTTTACTGGAGTTAAAAGTCTTGAACTTGGGCCAGCCTGAGATAGCTGTATTTGTAATGCAAACTTCTAAAGCCAAAACCAAACTTTCCTATTTTATCCGTGAACTAGGACCAACCAGTTGGACTGCTGCTCTTCAAACTAACTCCTGGTACAATAATGGGGTGGGCTGAAGAATTAAATCAACACTTCTAATTTAAAGCACCTGCCTCCATCTGCTGTCTGTGCTCCTTTTAGGTGTTTAGTGTTTTGAGACAGGTCCTTTGCCTGGAACTTGCTATGTAGATCAGGCTGGTCCTCTACCTCCCAAGTGCTGGGACTAAGGTCTTGCACCACCACTCCTGGACCCTCCATGGCTCTAGAGCCCAGCTGGCCTTCAAACCGCAATCCTCTGGCCTGAGCCTTCTGCCAGTGCTGGGATGAGGCAGGCACTGCCTTAAGTCCTTTCTGCCTTCTGCTCTTCCCCCTACTTTTGCTTAAAAAGTGCTCCCCCTCAGTCCACAGTTGCCATCCCAACACTTAAGGCACAGAGGCAGGCGAGTTCAAGACCAGCCTGGTTTTACTGAGTTCGAGGCCAGGTGGGGCTACAGAGACCCTGTCTGAAAAAGACCAAAAAAAGGGCTGGAGAGATGGCTCCAGCAGTTAAGAACACTGGTTGTTCTTGCAGAAGACCCGGGTTTGAATCCCAGTACCCACAAGGCAGCTAACAATGGTCTGTAACTCCAGTTCCAGGGAATCCCACAGCCTCTTGTTCTCTGCAGGCATTGCATGACATGGGTGCACTTACCTACACACAGGCAGTACAGGCGGTTAAGAGCATGGACTGCTCTTGCAGAGGACCCAGGTTTGATTCCCAGCACCCACATGGAGGCTACAAACCGTCCTTAACTCTGGTTCCAGGGGAATCCGAAGCCCTCTTCTGACCTCTGCAGCATTGCACGACACGGGTGCACTCACATACAAGCAGGCAATATACTCATACACATAAAATAAAAATAAAAAAATATTAAAAACAAAAACAAAAACCCGACACCAACGCAGGATGGAGGGGGGATTTCAAGGCCACTGTAAATTGCAGTGGGAGACAGTGATTCAAAACCTGCCTGCCATCCCAGCAATTTAGACAAGGAGGCAGAAGGATCAGAAGTCCAATCTGCAGCTACACAGCAAGCTCTAGGCCAGCCTGGATTACATGTGTCACAAAACAAGAAACACTGTAAAGTCTGCTTTTTATTGCTCCATGTATGAAGTGCACCCATGTTGTACAGTACTCCTGGGGGCCAGCAGAGGGTACTGGATCTTCTGGAACTTTTGTTAGCCACCATGTGGGTGCTGGGAACCAAACCCTGGTCCTCTGCAATAGCTGCCAGTGCTCTTAACCATTGAGCCAACTCTGCAGTTCCCTTGATTTTGTTGAGACAGGGTCTCCCTGCAAACCCAGCTGGCCTGGAACTTATTTTGTAGCCCAGGCTGGCTTCAATCTTAGAGATCTGCTTGCCTCTGTCTCTGGGGTACTGCGATTAAAGATGCTCACAACCAGGTCTGGCATGTTGTCTTTGTGCAACAGAATTTCCTGCAGCTGAAACTGACCTTGAACTCCTCTACCTTCTTCCTTGCAATGGCCCACTTCAGCCCTGACCAGAACACCCAAAGAACAGCATGCTGGAAGTTCCCTTACTCTGCATAGGGTGCATGTGTGTTGGAGATAGGGGTGAAGGTGCCTTCCTACCCTGCCCTGATGATGTCTTAAGGGCTGCTTGGCCATATACACTTTATGGCTGACTTGCTCTATCAAGGATGCTGGGTAGATCTGGGGTGCAGCCTGGGAGAGTTCACCTCATGGAGGTTTGCAGGTGCGGGGCGTGTGTGCATAGTGAACTACGAGGGACTGGAATTGACAGCAGAGGGGCGTGGCTACAGAAGGGCGGGCGCTCCCACCAAACCTTTATTGGCTAGGCACAATCAGCACCAAGCGTTTGCAAACCAAGTCTTCACAATAGATAGCATCACTAAGCCATGCCACTTTGGGGATACCAACTTGGGATGCAAAGGGAAAGCGTGCGGCACGGAGGGCTGGAAGTTAGGTCGCGTGCAGTCCCATAGCCACAGGAAACACGGGGGGGAGGGGGACGACACTGGAGATGCGCTACCCGCCGCCGCCC